TTCTTAAGTTGAATCTGTATGTAAGTCAGAACTGGCATCCAGATTCAGCTGCGGTTGAAACTGATCAGCTTCAGCAGCGGCTGACGCCAGTTCCGACTTACATACAGATTCAACTTAAGAACAAACCTACAGTCCCTATTTTGTACGTAACCCGGGGACTGCCTGTACTAGAAACATGTTATGCTGACTTTATGCTGACCTGATTGTACAGTTCTGGAATAGCCATCTAAGTGATCATTTAAAATAGCAAATTCTGGCCCCAAGAAATCCTTTCAATCCTATTTATTATTTAAAATGTGAATTTTTCCTGATTAAAGATTTGGTTTTCTGATTTAGCTGCGTAAAAGAGAATCTATAAAGGAGTGTATCATTGTTTGTTTGTTAAGTGATGCGATAGATCATATCGATGATGCAAACAGTCATTAAAGACCTAAATCATAAATGTGTGTCAAAGGCCAGGTTATATAACCATAGAGTACTATATATGGTACGTATTAAGGTTCCTGTCATCAAGCAAGCATTCTTATAATATCTCATCATAGACAAAGTGCAGTCACAAAAATGATGCATATCAGCATATGGATAAAATATAAAATGAAATTAGAGGGTTTTGTACTGAAATAGAACTACTAGTGATGCATCTGCCAGACATGAATAAAAAAAATAGCATAATTGTTAGTAAACATGGGGTAAACTATAAATACACATAAGACCAGACATCACACATTTTTTCAAGTGACAAACTTTGTATTAACAGAAACAAAAAATATCACAAATCTAGACAGACAGTGCTGCTAAGTTACATGGCTGCATGATTCATTCCCTAAAGAAATCAATGTCAAGATGACATTTTCCTTCAGGCTATACTGACAGTGGCTTGTAATTTGGGTAAACTTTCTCTACCCTGTAAAAAAAACAAACCATCAAACCAAAACATATCCACTGAAATGGCTACCACTTAACCAATGGATAGTATTTAAACAGAGCACAATATAAACCTGCATGACTCAGTCTACCGAAAATTTCAGTAAATAGTATGCGTCATAGGGAACAACTTCTGTGTTTCCAAAGAACATAGACCTATATGTCACACTTTTTAGAAACAAACTTTTTTCCAAATAGTAATTCCCTGCTTTTAATAAATCATTATTGTCTGCATTTAATTCTTTGTAGTGACACATACATCCAAACAGACGTATTTGTAAAATACATACATAAATAAATGCCAGGGGATGTCTAGATTCATTACTGGGGCTACAGAAAATACTCATAGATTTTGGGGGTGGAGGGGGGGGGGGTGGAGGAAACATTATGATCATCTAACTGACCGGCTATGTAATGTAGACCATAGGATTTCATCAACTCATTCCTGCATCAAACCCATAACTTATAATTGAGCTGTAAGGTATTTTAACATCCCACCTTGATTTAAAGACATCAGGTGCTGGAGAAGCTGCCATATCCCTAAGTAAATTGTTCCAGTGATTATTTACCCTCACTATATGTATAAATAAATAAAGTGTGCCTTATTTCTAATTTGAATTTAGCTTTGGTTCTCAGCTGTTGAAACCTCTGTGTGTGAGTACATAAATGAATAAACAACATTCTTAGTGATAATCTGCTTTTTATCAATAATTTTAGGGCCAATTACAGAATGCCTTTAGTCCATAGAGAATGATGCCTGAATTACAACATGATGTCTTGCAATTATACATCACTTTTCATCCTCAAGGATCCCAAAGCACTACTCATCTAGTACCAACCACCTCTGGGATGGAAAGCACATTGTTTACCATTTTATATCAACAATCCACAACCATTTAGGATAGGAGGCAAAGAGGATGATGATATAATCCCAAACTCTTCCAGATGCAGAAATCTACCTGTGTGGTTCATTTTGCAGGATCACGATCATATAGACTGTACTTAGATTGTAAACTTCCCAAGGCCAGCATATCCTCTTCATGTTTGCTTGCAAAGCAGCTAGAATATGCTGGTGTTATATAAGCCAATGAAATAAGTAAGAGGAGGAGGAGGAGGAGGAAGAGGGCAATTTACTCATAGGCTATGTCTACACTATGGTTTTTTTGTGGCAGGGCAATGCAAATGAAGTGCTGATTAGCATTTTCTCATGCTTCATTTGCATAGTCTCGTCCAACCATTTTTGCAAAAGAGATTTTTGCGCAAAAACATGCAGTGTGGACGTTTCCGTTTAGCAGAAAAATCCCTTTTTGCACAAGATCCGGATGAGGCATAAGGATCTTGCACAAAAAGGGATTTTTGTGCTAAATGGAAACATCCACACTGAATGTTTTTGCGCAAAAATCTCTTTTGCAAAAATGGTTGGACGAGACTATGCAAATGAAGCATGAGAAAATGCTAATCAGCACTTAATTTGCATTGCCCTTCTGCAAAAAAGAAAGTAGTGTAGACATAGCCATAGAGTACTTCTGCTAGATGGCACAGGGTTACTCATTAAAAAGAATAAAATATTTTCCCTTTAAACTGAAAAAAATCAATTCTTACACCATCACATTTCCTCAAAGAAAGGATATTTTTTGTACTGCTAAATCAAATAAGTTGTGATAGGAAATGTCTTAGAATCATAGAAGATTAGGTCTGGAAGAGGCCTTAAGAAGTAATCTAATCCAACCGCCTGCTCAAAGCATGATCAACCCCAACTGAATCATCTCAGCCAGGGCTTTGTAAAGCTGGACCTTAAAAGCCTCCAAGGATATGGATTCCACCACCTCCACAGGTAACCCATTCTAGTGCTTCACCACCCTCCGAGTTAAACAGGTTTTCCTAATATCCAACCTGGACTTCTCCCATTGCAGCTTGAGGTCATTGTTCTTTCTTCTGTCATCTATCATCACTGAGAACAACCTAGTTCCATCGTCTTTGGAATCCCCCTTCAGGTAATGGAAGGTTGCGATCAAATCCCTCCCTCTCGTCTCATCTGTAGACTAAACAAGTTCTCTCAGGCTTTCATAAGTCATGTGCCCTCCACTGGTCATGCTCCAGTTTAGCTATAGTCTTTCTGTAGTGGGGAGCCCCAAACTGGATGCAGTACTCCAGATGTGACCTCACCAGTGACAAATAGAAGGAATTAATCACTTCCCTAGATCTTCTGGCAATGCTCCTACTGATGCAGTCCCCCCAGCTTTACCCATTCACCTGCACCCATGACCAAAGCCAAAGTGCTCCCCACCCAGAGAATCCCTGAGTGCCCTCCACCCTTGGTCTGAGGAATCCATGGTGTCCATAGACCCAAGCCACCCCACGTGCCCAGAAGAGTCCTGCGCCCCTTCAACCTGCCCGAGTAGCCCGAGGCCAGTTGCAGTCATGGCTCCACTCTCCTTCCCAGAATCAATTGAAAGCTGTTTTGGGTCAAAGTGTCTCTTTGAAGATGCTTTTGCTCTGCCCCATACAGATGCCGGGGGCAGCTGAGGCAGAAGTATTTGCTATTCAGCTTCCTTGGTTCATCAGTAGTCTCCCTGGAATCCCCCAGAATCTGCATGGGACATAATAAAACAAAGGCTTTTCCCCTCTGCCTCAAAAAACCCTGCAACTGGGTATCCGGTGGCTGGGGCAGTGCCAGGGAAGGCAGAGCTTCCCTGAACAATTATATACACAGGCCATGCTTGTGGAATTGTTTTGTACTCCTCCCATGGGACACATCTACACTGCAACACTATTTCGGGATACCAGAGTATCCGAAAATAGCTATTCCGCATCTTCACAGCAACGCTGTTATTTTGGACTCACTATTCTGATGTCCCTGTAAACCTCATTCTACAAGGAGTAAGGGACATTTTGGAATAGCACTTTATTTTGAAATTTGGCGTGGTAGACAGCATCACATGACAAAATAAGCTATTGTGAAATAGCACTGAAATAAGATATGCAATTTGCAAAGCTCAAATTACGTATCTTATTTCGAGTGAAGGTTGCTTCATAGACGCACCCTATGAGAGTAGAAGGATAGCAGTTTTGTCCATATTTCTGCTTTTTGTTGAATTTCTTTTTGCTTTTCAGGATGTTAAAGAGCTTCCAACATTCTTCCTATCTGTTCTTCAAATTGGAATAGTTTCCACCGCGCCTTTCAATATTGTTTCATTGAGAAATTGCCAGCTGGCTTGAATTCCTTTTCCTCTAAGATTTTCTTCCCATGGGACCTCATCGACCATTTTTCTGCATTTGTTACAGTCCGCTTTTTAAAAATTCCATAATTGCTGTCCTTCTACTCTCATTCCTTCTGCTCCTTAGAATCACAAAATCTATCATTTCATGCCCACTTTCAGACAAATTGTGTTCCACCTTCAGATTCACAACCAATTCCTCTCTGTTTCATCAGTATCAAGTCTACAATGGCCATCCCCTTGATTACTTCCTCCACTTTCTGAACCAAAAAGTTGACCCCCCCAATAGATTCCAAATTTTGGAAATTTAGTGTTTTGCCAGATTACTTTTCCAACTGAGATCTATGTAATTAAAGCCCCCTAGCACCACACAGTCTTGTGATTTATATATTTGTGGTGTTCGTTCTAAAACAGCTCATCCAACTCCTCTTCCTGATTCAGTGATCTATAATAGACCTCTACCATGTTATCACATCTATTTTTTTTACCCTTTTTATCGATCATCTGGTCTTCCTTCTGCCTCTTGCTGGACCACAGCATGGATCCTCCATTTTGTTTTAACTGTAGAAGTGAAGACTTTGTATTACTGTCATGTAATTAAAGCATTACATTTCCTTTTGTATAAAGTAGGCAGTGTCATTAGAGTAGAAGCTCCTTTGCCTGCACAAGATACAAGTCTGAAATGTAACTATTCAAAACTCCAATCATCCTTCTGTAACTTTAAAGTGAAATAACTTAGTTAATATCCCATATAAACACCTAGATTTTGAGCACAACATTTCCCTAGACGTTGTTGCATTCTGGGAGCTGGCTGCATTCTGTTCTCATCTGATGGTTCTTCAATAAAGGTTATTGAATTAGACAATTCTATTGGAAATAGATGGCCTTACATTGATCTTACACTAGCATGAAACAAGTACAATTCTTCCTGATTTATGCCTGATATATCTTGTTATCAATTAAATCAAAATCAGGTCTAAAGCCCATATATCCATTCATACCATTAAAGGGGTAATTCTCTTCAAATAAGACTGGAATATAGAGCTAACTAAAGCCAATGTTAGGCTGGCTCTGCCTGGATTATATATTTTTGAGTAGACCTATCTATAAATACAACTGATTCCTGCCCATCGTTGTTGCACATCTAAATGCAGGGCCAAACTAAGGATCTTGGGACGGTTAGTGAGATGATTGCATGGCCAACATCCCAAACTTAGGTGATTTATTTCACATTTAGAATATATGTATGTTTTGGAGGCAAATGCTTGGGGGCTCTTTAGCCAGTCTCCTTAAGTCTCATGCCAAAGATCAAGTCCAGGTGCTTGTTCTCAACTCCCTGAGACATTACAATAATGAGGGAGTTGTGAGAACCTGTACAGCAAGCTTACCTGTTGCTTTACACTGCTTTTTGACTTCGAGCAAATCAGTGGGTGAATTTCCCTTAAGGGAAAATTTGCATAGAGTTTAATAGAAAAGGTTAATTTTTCCAGGGACGATTTGGGAAATCCCATAGAACGTAACAGAAAATTATATCCCTGCTACAGATTTCAATAGGATAGTGCAGAAATACTGTTAAAAGATGGTAATTCTCTGCTAAATTCTATAGGAGTACATTTACACAGAACCCTAAACTTGAAATAAGACTTTAGACTGAATTTCGAAATAGCATATTTTGAAATTTGGTGCATCTACACGGTGTCAAATTTCAAAATAACATACTATTTTAAGACATCCTTTAACCCTCATGGAACAAGGGTTACAGGGATGCCCAAATAGTGTGTCCACTATGTCAAGAACTATCTTGAAATAGCAGGCGTGTTCAAAAGATGTAGGGTAACTATTTTGGGATACTTCTGGTATCCTGAAATAGCCCCGCTGTGTAGACGTACCCTATGTTATTAGACTAACAGCTATAGAACTCACTTCAATTTCTGTAGAACCCAGTTGGTTTAATATCAATGGTACATTCCTATAGAATTTAATAAGGGTCAATTTCCCTCACATGTTTAACAGAAATAATAATTATGTATGAAGTTCACCAAGATTTCATTACCGGTAGTTTAGTTAAGCCTCGACAGTTTGAAGAGGTTGCCGTCTGTTCTCGTGTGGAGAAAGATACCCTCTGTAGCAGTTCCAAAGGCATATTTGAGCAAAACTGCAAAGAAGATGCCGAACAGTGTGGAGCCAGCATGCACCCCTGCTTCACTCGCTTGCCTTAGACAAGTATGCCTGAAAACAGGGAGTGAAGGAAGCTCTTGCTGTGTATGAAACTACCTTGGTGAAAGAAGCGGAAGACAAGAGAGCCCTCAGGAAGATCCGTGCCCGTGATACCAGAGTGACATCTGCCTACTGCTTCTCACAGTGCGGAAAGGACTGTCATTCCCGGATTGGATTGCACAGCCACAGAAGACGCTGCTCGAATCAGTCCAACAGGGGCGCAAACCCGTGATCCTTTGGGATCGAAGGATGCCTACGATACGAGTTAAGTTAATATCCATACAAGGCTTTTGAATGTTAAGCCCCAAATATGATTTTTCATTTAGTTTTTGGAAATTAACTGAAAACAGATGGCAAATAATATAATAAAGATCCAGAGAATCACATGGAATTGCTTCTGATGAAGACTGTTTTACATTTTTTGCCAGGCAACAGGATTTTGTGTCCTCCAATGTTTTCCTTCTGACGTAGCGCATCAATTTGAGTTAAGTTAGGGTCAGAAGCTCTTGAGTGTAAGAGTGAATCCAGTTTCTTATGGAGAAATCACAAGGATTTGTTGTGTTTAATATTAAAACTTACACAATGTGTTAGCAACATCCCAAATAAGGGAGCAGATACAGTTGGTCTCACTAATTGTCTAAGCAAAAATACAGCCCTGTGCATTTAATTATGTGGTGAAATCTTTCAGAGACCAGCAAAAATTAGACAGCAAGAGTGATCTTTTGTGGGTTTGGTTATACTTTAAAGTGGTCACTAAAAGCACGGATAATAATAAATCTGTCACAGAAAGGAAAATGTCAGTGCTGACTATACAGAATATTTCTGGATGGTTGAAGAGCGAGCATCAGTCTGGTTTATTTTTTTAATTTTAGAAGAAAAATAGTTATGTAGATGTGTTTCCTTAATAGAATTTTAAACTTCTGAGGCAATTCCACAAGGCAAATTCCCTATAACCCGTATCAGATGTTCTATGGCTGGATGACTTAATGAACCTTACCAGTAATTCAAGAGAATTAATTTGAAAACAAACTTTCCAATATATCTTTATAAAGAGAAATGTTACAAATGTTTGTCTCCTAAATTAAAAATGTACCTCTTCTTAGCTTCATATGAAAATCTGTCATCATCTGCATCAGAAACAAGCACTATGTGTTCTGATTTAGTCATTTGGGAACTATTAACATAATCTCTTTTGTTTTCTCTGCCATTATTTTTGCAGTACTGACTGACTGGAAAAGGAAGAAACATGTAACTGTAAGCTAGGGATGTTAAATTTTGATTAATCCACTACTTAATTAGTTGAATGGGAGGGGGGAGAGGGGTGCTTGAGTCCCCACTTGCCCCAGCTTCCCTGCTGCACCTCTGCCTTTTAAATGTAGTAAGAGCCACAGGGTTCCCCACTGCGCCTCTACCTCCCCTGCTCCACCCCCATCAAGATGGTACTGGGGGGAACCAGCTTTTAAGCTGGCTCTTTCCAGCACCAGCTTCTGCTCACCCCCCCTTGCTGCCTCTGATACAGGGGGGTGGGGGGTAAGCAACTAGTCAAGTAGTGACTCAACTACCCGATAAGTGTAGGCTTATCGGGTAGTCATCTAGTCGACTAGTCACTTACATCCCTACTGAAAGCTGCCATTTGGAAAATCCAAATCTTTTCCAGAAAAGTCATGTGGAAGGTCTCTTCTCTGAGCTTTATAGTGGACATTGAATCAAGAAAGGCCTAGATCTGGCAACCCCCAAAGATGAACCAAGTAAGAAAACGAATGTATTTTAAAATGATATTTCCTCATAGATGTCAGAGCTCATTGGGAGAGGTGTGGCAATTGGTAAGGATGATGCTTTCTTTCCTGGGACTATTCATGGAAGACATTCAACCTTTTCCCATTATCTGTCTAGTATCCTGATTCATATATGGAGGCCAGATATCCAAGATGATCAGGCCTCTTGACCTTTGTCACACTGAAGTCAGCAATAAAACTCCTATTGATTTTAACTGGACCAGAAGTGACCTCCCCATTCTACCTTTATGGTAGCATTTACATTAAGAATATATGAACAGCCATACTATGCCAGATCAAAATATCATCTAGCACAGTATCCAGTTTCCTAACTGTGGCCAATGCCAGGTACTTCAGAGGGAATGAACAGAACAGGTGAACATCAAAAGATCCATCTGCTGTAAACCATTCACTGCTTCTGGCAAGCAGAAGCTAGGGAAACTTCAGCGCATGGTCTTGCATCGGTGCACATCTTTGTGAATAACCATTGATGGACCTATTCTACGTGAACTTATCTAGCGCTTTTTTTGAACCCTGTTATAGTCTTGGCCTTCACAACATCCTCTGGCAAAAAGTTCCACAGGTTGACTGTGTGAACAACTACTTCCTTTTGTTTGTTTTAAAGTTGCTGTCTATTAATTTCATTTTGTGACCCCTAGTTCTTGTGTTAAGAGAAGGAGGAAATACCACTTCCTTATTTACTTTCTCCATACCACTCATGATTTTATAGACCTCTATCATATTCTCCCTTAGTTGTCTCTTTTCTAAACTGAAAAATCTCAGGCTAAGTCTAGACTACATCCCTCTGTCGAAAGAGGGATGTAAATGAGCCCAATCGAAAGTGCAAATGAAGTGCGGATTTAAATATCCCGAGTTTCATTTGCATATTTCACATCTGATCGCTGTTTCGAAAAAGGGTATTTTGAAAGTGAAACTGCAGTCTTGATGCAGTTTTTTCTAAAAAAACCCTTTTTCGAAAGAACCCATACTCATTTTTTCAGGCATACAGGTTCTTTCAAAAAAGGTTTGTTTTTTTTTTTCTGAAAGAACTGCTTCTAGACTGCGATTTCACTTTCGACATATAGTCAACCCCTGCATTTATGACTAATTGGTTCCCGGAGAACCATTGTTAAGTTGAGCCATCGTAAGTCAAACCCTTATTTCCCATAGGCGCAATGTTATAAATGGCAGTTCCGTTCCTGGAAACCCATTTCATACCCTAAAAATACCAAAATTGACTACAGAAATGGAGAAAAAGTAAACTAAATAGTTCAAATAATCCACAAAAATAACTAAAAAGTGAAGACTGATGTGGCGGAGATGCGCGCAGGCCAAGCAGCAGCTGCAGACTGGTGAGTCTGACTGACCTGGTGCGTTTCCTGTTTTGGGATGACCTGTGGAGTCTGCGTCGTATGCCGTCATAAATACGAGTTGCGGATGTAAATTGAGGGGGTTTAGGAGCTATTTTGCATGAAAAAAATGGTTGTAAATGTGAGGGGTTGTAAGTCGTGGGTCGCCTGTACCCTTTTTTGAAACAGCGATCAGATGCAAATATGCAAATGAATTGTG